TTTCATAGGCCAATATTACCAATGAATGAGTATTTAAATAAGATGTAAATACATTGATTACCATGCCATCCTACATGAGAGATTATGAGAGATGAAGTTGGAGTCATTGAAGCAAGAATGGTTCACTATTATGATGGGTACTGAAGACACGTTTCTCTTTAGGCAGGAACAAGAGTAAAATGATACCAACTACTGAAATAATTGCACAATATTGTGGCTAGCTGAGGTATACAACCATAACATGAGTAAGAGATAAAACATTTTAGGGTAAAGACTAAATTATTAATTATAGGTCATATAGTTATGTGTTTATTAATGAAAGGCTACTAACAAACTATAGAAACAATGTAATAATTTTTGAAATAGACTCAAAAGACATGTAAAATTGATCTAAAAGCTATGGAAATATGTACATTAAATAAATTGAAATGAAGGTTTGTAGCATGTCTAGAGGTGACATTGAATTTTAAAAATAAACAAGTTTATTGAGATATAATTTACATACCATAAAATTGTTTCATTTTAAATACAGAATTCAAGGATTCTTAGTACATTTACCACGTTGGGAAATCATCCCCACAATTTAGTTTTAGAACATTTTTATCAGCCCCCCAAAAATATTTTCAACCAAAAAAGAAAAATATCCTATGATATATTTGAAAGGTAGAAATTGCTGTAGTACCAGTCTTCCCCTACCCGCGCCTTGGTATGAAACCCACATTTGATGACACTAACTTCTGAAAAGCTCCTCCTTTAAATTCAAGAGGGAAATTATTCTTATCATAGTCAACAGACCATCAGTGTTTCCTTTCTAGATACAATTACTGTCCCCATTAAGCACATCATATGTGCAGCATTAGAGAAAAGACACATATTCTACCCATTTTCACTAAGACATAGTTTCTCTAAGTGATTAAACTATTGTATTGGAGTTCCATTTTTAAAAATCATTATATGCATGGAATTTTTACAGCAACTACTCTACCCACCCTGAAAATAGCGTCACAGGCTCTTTTACGTCAGGCAAATCAGTTAAAACCATAGAGATATTGAATACTGGATTAAATGCTACAGAGAGAACACATCAACCACCAACAGAGAGGATTACATCAAATTACATTAGCAGCATTCAGGGATGAGTGTGGGGTTTAGGACCTCTGGTTGATCTCCACAAAGTCATTTCATTTCTCAGGAATTATTCCTCCCACCTCTGTGTCTTTGCCATCGGATTAGTTTCTATCCCAGAGGAATCCTTTTTTGAGACGTGAGCACTTACCCCAACTCCTCGTACACCTCTTTCCCTTATACACTCTGCCTCTCAGACTGATAGGAAAATACTCATGTGGTGCCTTCCTGCTGCCAGGACTGTGGGCTTAGAGTAATGTACCAGTGTGTGCGTGGTGGGGAGGGAGAAAGCCAGTCTCTGTGATGTTTGTGATTCTGACACATCTTCTCACAGAACTGCAATGATCCATTCAACTGTAGTGATAATGGCAGTGCACACTCGGTAAGCTGAGAATACTTCTGAAATCTTTGTTCCTACTGCCAGTTCCCACAAACAATTACAAGTGCCTAATGAACATCACCAAAGAGACATTTTGAAATGTTCACTAGAGACCCTTCTTTTTCTATGACCCCTGAAGACAGACAGGGTTCACATGGAGAAAGCAGAAAATGCTGGTGTCTGACACTTGATGGATAGTGGTGTCGAAAATAGCTTCTTTTGCCTATTTTCTGTCTGTGTATCTGCTTCAGTGAAGAGTCTCTTCATGGATTTTGCCCATTTTCTAATTCGAGTCTTGTTTTTTTCTACTGTCATGGTTGTAGAATTCGTAATACACTCTACACATCAGTCCCTTGGCAGATATATGGTATGCAAATATTGTCTACTATTCTGTAGCTTCTCTTTTCATCCTCTTAATGTGGTTTTTCACACACTAAAGTTTTTAATTTTGTTGAAGTCCACTTTATCAATTTTTTTCTATGGGTCATGCTTCTGGTGCCATGTCTAAGAATTCTTCACCAAGCCCTAGATCCTGAAGATTTTATTCTACATTTTTTTCCTAAATATCTTACAGTTATACGTTTAAAGCTATGATACTTTTTGAGGTAATATTTGTACAGGTATGAAGTTCAGGGGCAGATTGTTTTATTCCTTTTTTCCCCACTATGGCTACTCCATTGGTTCAGCACCAGCTTTTGAAAATCCTTCCTTCATTGAATAGCCTTGGTACCTTAGTCAAAAGTCAGTTGGAAGTACTGGTGTGGGGCTATTTCTGGTTTCTCTATTCTGTCCCATTGATCTATGTGTCTGTCACTCCACCAATACCACACAGTCTTCATTGCTATTATATTAGAAATCTTGAGGGGCCGGCCCCGTGGCCGAGTGGTTAAGTTTACACACTCCACTTTGGCGGCCGAGGGTTTCACCGGTTCGGATTCTGGGCGTGGACATGGCACTACTCATTAAGCCATGGTGAGGCGCCACCCCACATAGCACAACCAGCCTTCTATCCCTCAAATACACCCAACTTAGTCACAGTGTGCAATTCTTCGTGTATTGATGACTTCTATTGCTAATATTTTAAGAATTTTTGCACCTTCATGTGAAATTCAGTTGGTACTTATCTTTTTTTCCCCCAATACCTTTGTCTAGTTTTGGTATCATGGTAATACGGGCCTCATAAATTGAGTTGGGAAGTCTTCCCTCCTCTTCTATTTTCTGAAAGAAATTGTGTAGAATTGCTGTTAATTCTTCTTTACACATTCGATAGAACTGTCTAGTGTTAACGTTGGGGCTTTGTTAAATTAACACCAAGCCACACATCAACTGTGGATATTCCTCAATCATTTAAATATGTTCCCACCTTGACAATTTTCTCCGCCCAATTGCCCTTCCCCATTTGTATTTGCATGATATACTCTTTCAATTAATTAATGATTCTGCTCAAAAATCTCATCATATAGGTATTCCCTGAACACATTAAATTAGGACACTCTATCCCTCTATCATTGTACATGTACACCTTCGTTGTACTTAACACCATTATATTTTTAATTATTGTTTACTTACATTTACAGAATATAAGCTACTTAGGTAGGAAGCTGAATTTGTTTCCTGCTACATCATGTGATTACAATAGTTCCTCAATGACAGAATAAGTAAATGACAGAATGAGTAAATGCATTTCATCAGTGAAAAGGAGAAAATTACTGCAATGCTTAGGCTCATAGATTAGGAGGTCAAATGGTCAAGAAAGCATGTAATTATATTTGTGGCACCAAATTCCTTCCTTCCTTAAGTTTCCAACGTAGTGTTCTGAACATCTGTCATAAATTCTGATGCTATATTTTGTTCACACATTGTTAGGCAACGTGAGCTAAAAACATCTGACTCATACATGAAGGGATGTTATTAAGTTTTTCTAAGCCACAAAATTTTAAATTCAAGATTCCCTCTCAAATACGCCATTCTACTCCCAACACAAAATGATCATCTTATTTCTCAGGTAGGACAGTTTTTATTTGAAAGTGACAGAACTGCCTGGAAAACTGTGACTGAGACAAGTAGGGGGCTTATCATTTTCACATACAGGAAGTCCAGAGGTTGCAGTGTGAACGTGATGGGTCCTCTGGACAGTCCTCTCTGCCTGCTCCACCTTCACGAGCACTCAGCCCTCAGTCTCCTTAAAGTAAGATGTGGCTGCTGTATGAAAAAGAAGGGTGAAGGGTGACGGGCAAAACCCTTCTCATTATTAGGTTTTGTCTTGTTTACAAGGAAATGATAATCCCAAGAATCTTTTCCAAATATTATTAGCTAGTTCTCTTACATGGCCACCACAATCTTAATAAGCAATGGGAATTTTCAAATTTTATATTCACACCTCAAGAACAGAGAAAAGTAAAGGAAAAAGATGTTGGAGAAAATATTTAGCTACAAAATTAAAATACCCCTTATTAAAGATATTAAATGACAAGGTAGTCAAGGATAACTGTGGGAAGAGACAGATTTTATCGTCTGACTTTGTTCTTTATCCTGAGAGTATAATATTCCATGTAACCCGTGGCCAGTCTCCTTAGTGTTCCAAATGAGATGCAAAAATTGAGTCCTTAGTGTTTTCTAACTTACAGATTTATTTCCTTTGAGATGTATCTATCGGAATCTACACAAACTAAAATAATTTTCTAACTTTTATTATGGATATTCTGATTCTAGTGTCAGGTTAGGAAAATTAAAGAATCCATTTAGAGATATTCATTCATGCCATCCCACCTTAAAGTTAGAGCTAAAAAAAGGCTTGAACTTGGGAATAATCTAACACCACCTCCAAAGCTACTTTAATATTAGACTATAACTTAATAGTAATTTGGCTGTTATATCATAACTCAAGGGTGTTCATAACTGGGGAACCTACATTAAATATTTCCCATGAACCAGCAGATACTTCAATACTATCTCCTTGGAAACACAGAATACATTCAATTGAGGGTGAAAATTTAAAATGCATATTTTAAATTTGTCTGTTCCTAAAGACAGGAATTCTTTGTTACATTATAATTTTTAATTTTTTTACTGTTATTTTACACACATAAGATTTTTTGTCTTAAAAGTTAAAACTATATTAAACACATATACTATGAGTATCCCCAATTCCAATCTGCATTCTCAAACACTCTCTATTCTTCAGTAAGTTACCTTTGGTATGATTTTGAGGTTTATTTTTACAACAAATACCTGCTATACAGAATATTCTACATTTTGCTTTTTATATGTGGTGGAGATCACTCCAACATAATGACTTTCTTCACTCTACTAATAGCTTCGCATACAAAGCCATGTGTCTCCTAATTTCTCAGCCAATAAAATGCAAATTATGAATATGTATTTCCAAAATTGTAAGTTCTTTGAATCTAACGTGGGAAGAAAATATTTACGCCATTCAGCCTAGAGAGCTAATGAAGCACCCCAATGTTTGGATGAATAGAAGGCACATGATCCATTCACAGTTACAAAAAACATTTTATTTTACTTACGTGGACATGAGAAGTATGATACATTCTAAATAAAAGAGTATCAAAATACAATTTCAGTGGCCAAATATGAATCTTACACAAGCATCTTGTACTCTGGTTCTTTTGATTAAACTGTCCTCTATGTCTCTTCAGTTTCCAAAAATAAGACTAATTTTCATTAATCTGTGATACGCACCAGCTATTACTTTTCAAAAGAGAGACCATGGTTCCTCCTCCATTTTTGTACCACATACGCCACCCCATCATTCTACTCAGTGAAAATGTCCTTCTCTCAATATCCTGGCCTACTCGGTTTCATGATCACCAGCACGGCAATCCTCTCCTATAACTGTCAACAGAGGTCCAGAGTCATACCAACAAATCTAGAGAAGGGCCAATGACCTAAGAAAGCATAATAATTTAGATAATACTTTTACATCTATTCCCTGCCACTTCCCGTGTTCTCAAATTTATACTAGATTGTATCTTAAAATTACTGTCCTAGTTTTTCCAGGTTCCACGGATATGAATAAATGCCATCTAATGAAGGAGCTCCTTTCATCTTACGGATCCTTTCCCTGAGACCATAATGGTGAGAAATGAAAAGCATGTTTGAAAGTATAACAAAACAGGTTTCAAACTTCAGGTGGTAAGCTATCAATAAATGTAGGCTTTTCCAGAAACCTCAAAGAACTGAATGAAATCATTTTATAAACTGAAGGTAATTAGACCCTTCCACAGATGTCCTTACTACATGGACACACATCATCTCACGAGTTTTAAACAATTTCACTTTTAATTGTCTGTGGAATTTAACATCTGAGGTTGGTTAATCTTCGAAAACAATAGACTTAGTTGCCTCTACTATGAATTTTCTTATGTACAGTTCATTGAGAGAATTGGTGAAACAATTCATCACTTTCCTTACATGGGTACTAATTCTGTCTGAATATTTCTGCCTGAATTCTTAGGTGTATCATGAGGTCATTGTTTACAGACCTGGATAGCTTTGTATGGTTTTCATCTTATATGAATTCTTTCATGACCACAAAGTTGTACATTTTTGATAAAGCTGGTCACACTCATTACATTTATAAGGTTTCTCTCTAGTAAGAATTCTGTTCCACAAGGCTTAAACTTTGGGTACACCTTACCATGTTACATTTGTGTGGTTTCTCTCAAAGATGCGTATTCTGATATCAAGTGAGGTGTGAGCCCTGGTTACTGGCTTTCTCACATCCATTACTTTTATATGGTTTCTCTCCAGGATGGAGTCTCTGATGCTGAATAAAGCTTGAACACGTACATAAGTTTTGTCTTAATCATTATATTTGTAAGGTTTCCTTCTGCTATGAATTCTCTGATGATCCCCAAAGCTTGACCTCTGAATAAAAGCAGTGCCACATATATTAGGTTTATAATGTTTCTTTTCAGTATGTATTTTCTGATGCCTAGTTAGGTTTGCAAATTGGGTAAAAGCTCTGCCACACTCATTACATTTGTAAGGTTTCTCTCCAGTATGTATTTTCTGATGTCGATTGAGATGTGAACGCTCCATAAAGGCTTTGCCGCACTCATTGCATTTGTAAGGTTTCTCTCCAGTATGAGTTCTCTCATGACCCCAAAGGTGTGAATGTTGGATAAAAGCCTTATCACATTTATTACATTTATAAGGTTTTTCTCCTGTATGAATTCTCTGATGTTCCATAAGGCTTGAACTTTGAATGAAAGCCTTGCCACACACATTACATTTGTGTGGTTTCTCTCCAGTATGGATTTTCTGATGCTTAGTAAGGCTTGCAAATTGGGTAAAAGCTTTGCCACACTCATGACATTTGTAAGGTTTTTCTCCAGTATGGATTTTCTGATGTTGACTAAGATTTGAACGCTCAGCAAAGGCTTTGCCACACTCATTACATTTGTAAGGTTTCTCTCCAGTGTGGATTCTCTTATGCTGAGTAAGGCTTGAACGCTCAGCAAAGGCTTTGCTGCATTCATTACACTTGTAAGGTTTCTCTCCAGTATGAATTCTCTGATGACTTGCAAGGTTTGACTTTTGACTACAGACCTTGCCACATATATTACATTTGTAAGGTTTCTCTCCAGTAACCATTCTCTGATGATTTCCAAGGTTTGAATTTTGACTAGAGGCCTTGCTGCCTACATCACATTTACATGGTTTCTCTCCTGTATGCACTCTCCGATGTCTAGTAAGGTTCGAGCACTGATTGAAAGCTTTGCCACACTCATTACATTTGTAAGGTCTCTGTCCAGAATGAATTCTCTCATGATTCGTGAGGTTTGAGCTTTTGCTAAAAGCCTTCCCACACTCATTACATTTGTAAGACTTTTTCCTAGTGTGTGTTTTCCCATATTGTGCAGGTAACGAAGGATATTTAAAAACCTTCCTATATTTATTACAAATGTTTTTAACACTAGAAGGAATTATTTGAAGTGGTGAAACTGAGGAACCATTGTTAATAGACTTCCCAACTTGACTGCATTCATAAACTTTCTCCTCAGTTTGAAATCTCTGCAGTTCAGCAAGGTGGGCCTGCAAACTTAATCCAGGTCTATTTTCCAAACACCTTATATACTTGTTTCCAGCATCGCTCATGTTATTTTTCAGTTTTAACAAATTCCCTATAAATGGCTTGTCATGTATGAAATATTCGTATGTATTATTTCTTACTGAAACATGCTGCTTTTGAGGAAAATTAATTGAGGATATATTATGTTGTTGATCTATTCTATGAGTGAGATTTTTTTTATAAGTCAAAGGCACTCTTTTGTAATTTCTCTCATCATATCCCCACTCATTCTCATGCTCATACATATTTTCCAAGACTTCCTTGAGGTCAAAATCCTTGACGCCATGCCTTTCATTTCTTTCCAATATCACTAGATGGTATAATTTTCCTTTATCAATGTCCTCTCTTGGTGATAATTTGTTTATTGCAAATTCAGCAGAAATGCTTCCTATTAAATAGAATTAGAAGATAAATATTTTATATTGAACTACATAATTACACAAAAAATAATACTTACAATGAACATAGTTATGTAGTTTCTCAAGTGTGGTCTCAAACACTATTGTGATATACAGATTTTAAAATTTTCCTTTACATAATTTTTTCCATATTAGTAATTTCGTTAACTTTTGATCATATATTTCCAAAGCACATATTATATACTGTACATATTGTTTGGCCATATACCTGGATAATTAAATGATACTCCACAGGCAGGGAGTTGATCTATGTACTAGCTACTATGTAACTGCAGACATGAAATTATAATTCAGATTTGAGACTTTCTTCCCTCATTCTCAACCTTTATATTAATATCTGTTTACTAATAATGTATGTTTAATAATGTGTGGGGATATGATGCAAGAAAAAAGATAAAAAATATAAGCATATCACAATAATAATAAATAAAACATTTTAGTAACACATATTAAATCTAGCAGGTAAGTTAAGTAAGCATAGTTATATAAAATAATAGTGTCTGGAATTCTAAGGAATTCTTCCTTAAGGACTAAAGAAAGAATTTACATTCCAGAAAGAGCACACAGTAGGTAAAAGGAAAAATATGTTCAGAATCAGTGAATTCTGAAATATCAATTGGTTCAAGTAAACACATTTTTATGAAGATTAACAATTAGGGAAGATTGTCTGAAATAATCATGATTTCATGCCTGCAGTTATATAATAGCCAGTACAAAGATCGACTCTTCTAACTAGTGGAGGTATTATTTTAATTATCGAGTTAGAAGGGATAAATTTGGACAGTATATAGGCCGTGTGTTCAAAAATTTATCTAAGGTCAGAGGAAACATTAATATCGGAAAAATTACAAAAAGAAAACATATAAGATATAATGCAGGCCAAGGTCAATGTCATAATAAACATTACAGAAAGGTGACAGTTCTCACTAACTAAAGGTAACTTTTTCAATCCTTACTGCATACCATGCAATATTTTAAGCCCTCTAACACCATTAACTTCTTTAATTATTCTTGAGGTAAATCATTACAATTTTTCATATAAAAACAAAGGGTCCAACGAGGTTTATATATCTATCCTAACTCACAAAGAAAGCAAATTCAAGAGCCAGGATTTGAATCTGGGTGTGCAGACTAAGACAGAATGTTCATAAGCATCAAGCACCAGTGCCCATCCAGGCATACAGATCACAACAGGTCACAGCAACTACCAGGAGCTTACAAAGAAATGTTTCGAGGGAGATACAGGACCTGAGTTATGTCACTTATAGTGTGACTGCCCCCCCATACCCAGGTGACAGCATGAGTCACCATGTCCCACACTTGTTGATGCAGACAGTGACTAGAGCATGTTTCTATCCTGAGCAAGCTGTAGTGTGTAGGAGTGGGGGTCTTTCCTTATGCAGTGTACGCAATGTGGGGAGGAGCTGGTCCCCTGGATACTGGGGTGCCTAGGTGCTAAAAATTAATATACATGGAGGTACTAGTATAGTTCATTTAGACTAATAAAAGATGTAATGAAAGGCCAGGATTGGGATTTAGAACAGCAAGAGTGAAGGTCAAGGAATAATGGGCAATGTGGGAGCAGCACTTGTGCCTGCAAACCTATGGGAAAATGACTGTGCTACAGCAGTTAAAATCCTGATCTTGGAAAAAGAGAGGAAGTCATTTAGCAAGAGGTGTGATACTGACTTATTCTGTAGGAACTATACCATGGGGATGAGGCAAACAAGGAAGAGATTAAAAAGGGAGACAGTGTGATGTTAGGGGAGAATGTAGGTTTACCTCTATTCCAGTATTTGCTGTAAGAATGATCAAACTGAATATCCCATGATTTCCATTTTTAGACATATACTTCAAGAGAGTGACACGTTTCAGAAGACACGTACAAGAATGTTCTTAGTACGATCCAAAAGCAAAAACCTGGACGTGACCACCAAGACAAGAATGGATGAATTCACTCTCTACAAACTCATATGGATGCAATAAAACCCTCTCGAGGGTCCAGCAATGGAGGGTGACGATGGGTGCTGGATGATGATCTCGACTGGGGGTCACAGAGGTTGTACGGTGGGGACAAAGTTAGCACAAGGCTTTTGTCAAGGTTTCAACTCTTTGGGTATGTGATTATATTTGGTAAAAAATAATTTATGAACTAAAGTATATATTTTTCAAAATAGAAATTTATCAATTTTGATGCATTGAGTTTATTAATCCCAATGTCCATGCTTGTTATATAAAAATAATGGAGGGGCCAGCCTGGTGGAGTAGTGGTTAAGTTCATATGCTCCGCTTTGGTGGCTCAGGGTTCGTGGATTTAGATCCTGGGTACGGACTTGGCAGTGCTCATCAAGCCATGCTGTGGCAGCACCCCACATAAAGTAGAGGGAAGACTGGCACAGACGTTAGCTCAGCAACAATCTTCCTTACAAAAAAAAATAAAATAAAAAAATAACAGAATCTTCCTGGAAGTTTTTAATTATTTGAAATCATATCCTTGGATCTTTTTTTTTTTTTGAGGAAGATTAGCCCTGAGCTAACATCTGCTGCCAATCCTCCTCTTTTTGCTGAGAAAGACTGGCCCTGAGCTAACATCCTTGCCCATCTTCCTCTACTTTTATATGTGGGATGCCTGCCACAGCATGGCTTGCCAAGCGGTGCCACATCCACACCCAGGATCCGAACCGGCAAACCCCAGGCCGCTGAAGCGGAACATGCGAACTTAACCGCTGCGCCAGTGTGCCGGCCCTGGATCTTTTAACATTACCATCCCAGACACATAAGAGACATCAGGTGAGAAGTGCTCATCTATATATATGTAGTATATATATATAGTTATTCTTATTACAAATCAGTAGAAATTAATATGCACTTATCCAAAAGTAATGAATTCTGACTTCACAAACATCATCAGAAAACAGTATCTTAAGGGGCATAACTAAATGACCTAGAGCACAGAATGGTTGGTATGGAGGGCGGCGTTGGAAGCAGCATTTAAGTGTAGAAACAAGTTTTGGCAGTGCCATCATAATCCACGGCAGAGGTCTATGTGCAGAGATGTGGTCAGCAACGTAAGTATCCAATTACAACAGAACAACAGGACAGCAATGGAATATGTGTCAACAAGGAGCAGGTGACTTTTTATGGAATTCAGCTGAAAAGGGGGACAGGGAACAAACCAGGCTTCTTGTGTTAATTGAAACATGAAATTCCAAGAACTTAAGAAATTGGGAAACACGAATGTCAGAAACAGTAGTAATGAGGAACCATGGGGTGTAAAAAATTGGTTAAGTTTCCGTTAAATGATATATTTAAAGATTAGGTTAGTATACCAAGATGTGCATGATGAATCCTAGACACAGAGAGTAATTATTAGAATAAATTATTTGTAGCAAAAAAAAGTCAATGAAAATTAAAATATAGTTCAATAAGTTAATTTTTAGAAAAGTACATATATATGGGAAAAAGCAATCAATCTTATATAAAAAACTTTTCTGTGAACTTAAAAACTTCTAGAAAAAAAATAGTCTATTAAAAAAGTGCGTGTTAGTAGGTACTAAGTAATATGAAACAGAAGTAAAAGGAATAACTAAGACTCTTAAAAACATTCTGGAGGTTACACAGGTTTTGGGGAAACTAATGCTAAGTCATAAACACTTAAGAAAGAAATCCTGTAAAATATAAAAAATATTCACTCCATGACCCAATAGCCTCAAACTGTAGATATAAAACAAAGAACACTAAGGGTATCATCAAAAATACTGGAGCTGATGATTAAATAAACAGAAAACAAGCTCATTTATAACAATGAATTTAGAAGATGAAAGTATCAGCGGCTTAAACAAATTACAGCAGACTTAAAAAATGGAGGCATCATTCCACTTTATAAACTCCTTCAACAAAACGTGTTAAAATTCTATTTGTTGAAGGTGAATGAACAAGAGCACACAGTGGGTAAACAATGCGGCATAAATGGTAGTTTAGTCAATAGTCTCAGATATTAGGTTGTGAACTTGGATAGTGTTCTCTTTAGAACAAGTTCCTACGCCTTTTATCGTGGGCTCAAAGAAGATGATCATACTCTGTCTGAACACTACTGTAGCATTGCCCATGGGAGACATGGTTGAACTCCACAAAACCCAGAAGCACTTATCAGTCAGGCTCTCCTGACACTTTCTACGTCAGGATCCTGGGACATGCAGACCACTCTTCCCTGGGGGTTCAAGACGCACTTCTATATGTATCAGGATAATACTGTAACATATTAATCAGTGTTCTCCTTCAAGAATTTTCTGTTATCCAGTAAACACTCTCCTTGGGACAGTCCACCAGAAGTTGTCTATCTCCTATAGGTGGGTTATCACAGCAGAAAAAGAGGATGGAACTTTAGACCCTTGGAATGTGTATTTCAAAAGCAAGTTTCAGAGGCAAAATCTTAGAGAAGAATAAGAAATCAGGAAGACTAATGACTTTCTATGTTCCCTGACAGGGAGAGCAGCATTAGGTAGAAAAATAAAAGATATGGGAATAAAATAGGAGAGCCAGATTTTCTGCAGTTCTTGAGAACGCTGTGCCTACAGGGTGTATGGTGAGAGTCTGAAAGACTGAGATATACTTGCATGCACCAATGGGGACCAAAGAGAGGATCTCAGCATCCAGTCTTCATAATACTGGTCAGTAACAGTGCCAAACAATCTCAAATCCCATTCTGCTTTACACACATGTGGCAAAACCAGAACTCAAGAGACGGCTGAGGGGCCTGAACAGGCAGACAGGGCTTGACGCAGCCCAGGCAGTTTCATGGGAACTCAGATACAATGGAAGAGCAGCTACTTTGTTTGTCTGTCATTAACTACTTCTCCCAAGGACATGAAATGTGAATGGAAACTGAATAGGTCCTGAGGTCAGGACTACAGAGGCCGTAGCTCTGATCCGGATGGACCAAGAATCAAGAGATCAAGGGGAAAGAGGACTCCTTAGAGACAGCCATCTTGGTCTCCCTCACACCAGGAGACCAAAGTGGTCATGGGGCCCGGTTAAGAGTGTGTCGTACGTCATGATAAAGTCTTTTCCTGCCTCTGCATGACCTGGAGCATCACGGGACAATGTGAGTTTAAACTTTTACACATTTGAACGACAGAGTGGTAAGTGTCTGTGTGTGGGGAAATTTCTTTTGAGAACTCCTAAGAAATAAATTTTTATTTTCCCACAGATCTTTCCCAATTGAGCAGAGTTTCTAAATAATATTTAATGGAGCAGCTTACCCTGAACCCATCTATCTGAGCTCTTACTTGTCTTCACATCTCCATACAGTCCCATCTGTCTGCATTTTTTCCTATATTCCCTTCACTCTCCACAGTCCAGAGCTGTTTTCCTCACTCAAAAATGAAGATAATATTCTACTGAACAGAGACTTCAACTTACAAAGAAAAATGGCACAGGATATGCTATGTTTTTCCGGAACACATTCCCAGCTCTTTGTTCAGCTGAGAGGACATTATAGATGGGTCTAGAAAAGCAGTTCAACAATCAGTCAACTGACTGCCTCCTTCTGAATGCTAAGGGGTTATTTTCAGTACGCAGGTATCCAGCTCTCTCCCAAGAACTACTGGATGAAACGCACAAGGGTAAAACCACAGAATCAGAGATTTTTAAAATTTACCAGAAGGTTTTCTGACTACTAATGTTCTGAAACCATCACTAATCAAAGCACAAAATGGGCAGAACTTCCAAAGAAAGGGCTAGTTAAGAGTCCATACGCCACATTATGAAGCCTTTCTTTTCTGAATGAAAACAGCTTCAATCACTCTCTTAAGAACAGGGATTTTCAGGGGCTGGCCCCGTGGCCGAGTGGTTAAGTTCGCGCTTCGCTGCAGGCGGCCCAGTGTTTCGTCAGTTCGAATCCTGGGCGCGGACATGGCACTGCTCATCAGACCATGCTGAGGCAGCGTCCCACATGCCACAACTAGAAGAACCCACAACGAAGAATATACAACTATGTACCGGGGGGCTTTGGGGAGAAAAAGGAAAAAATAAAATCTTTAAAATAAAAAAAAAAAAAAAAAAAAGAACAGGGATTTTCAAACTCTCACAAGTCAGTCGGGGGCTCCCAAGAGACTCACAAGGGAAAATGCAAGGATATACGAAAGTAGTTATGGACTTCTGGAGGAAGTTGTCCTCACCCAGGGAGAGCAGGTTCCTGTAGTTCTCCAGCATCACGTCCCTGTACAAGGCCCTCTGAGCGGGGTCCAGGCTTTCCCACTCCTCCTGAGAGAATTCGATGGCCACGTCCCTGAACGTCAACTGTCCCTGAAAGGAAAGCACATTTCACCATGCGGACAGGGAGAGGGCTCTTATCGTGACACAAAATGAGAGAAGCAGAGATGTGCAAGGACTGACTTGGCTGCAGTGAGTGCTCTCACAGATCCATGTAAGAGAATTTTGAGCAAGTTATATTACTCTAATTTTTTTTAAATGAGGTCAAGTTCATATAAGATAAAGTCAACCATTTTAAAGTACAATTCAGTGGCATTTAGTACATTCACAATGTTGTACGAACATCACCTGTATTTGGTTCAAAAACATCTTTATCATCGCAAAGGAAATCCATTACCCATTAAGCAGTTGGTCCCATTCCCCTCTCCCCAGTCCCTGGGAATCACTAATGTGCTTTCTGTCTCTATGGATTTACCTATTCTGGATATTTTCACATCAATGGCATGGTATGAAACGTGCGAAATTTGTGTCTGGCTTCTTTCACTTAGAATGATATTCTTGGTTCGTGTATGGTGTAATATGTGTCAGCACTACATTCCTTTTTTATGGCTGAATAATTTCACTATATCACTATACCATATTTTATTTATTCATTCATCCTTTCACGGACACCTGATTTGTCACCACCTTTTAGCTAATGTTAATAATGCTGATATAAACATGTATTCGAATATCTGTTTTCAATTTTTTTGGCTCTATACCTAGGACTGGAAGTACTGGGTTACACAGTTTAATCTTTTAAGGACCTGCCACAGTGGTTAACGACCTACCAAAGTGGCTACCATTTTCCAGCAGTCTATCAGAATTCCAGTATCTCCAAATCCTTACTAAAACTTGCTATTTTGTGTTTTAGTATACTCATCCTAGTGGGTGTGACATGGTATCTCACTGTGTTTTGAGTTTCCATTTTCCTGATGACTGATTCATTGAACATGAGTTCACGTGCTTGTTGGCCACTGTATATCTTCTATGAAGAAATGTCCACTAAGGTTCTTTGACCATTTTTTTTTTTTAAAGATTGTTTTATTTTTTCCTTTTTCTCCCCAAAGCCCCCTGGTACATAGTTGTATATTCTTCGTTGTGGGTTCTTCTAGTTGTGGCACGTGGGATGCTGCCTCAGCGTGGTTTGACGAGCAGTGCCATGTCCGCGCCCAGGATTCGAACCAACGAAACACTGGGCCACCTGCAGCGGAGTGTGCGAACTTAACCACTTGGCCACGGGGCCAGCCCCCTTTGACCATTTTTTAATTGGGTCCTTTTATTTTAGTTGTTGAGTTGTAGGAGTTCTTCATATATTTTGGATACTAGACCCTGATCAGATATGTGAGTTGCAAATATTTTCTCCCATTTGGTAGATTATATTTTCAGTTAGGTGATAGCATCTCAATGCACACATTTTCGCTTTTGTTGGAGACCAATTTATCTATTTTCTGTTTCTCTCTTTTGCTTTTTGTGTCATATCAAAAAATCTAGTGCCAAATCCAAGGTCAGGAAGATTCACCCCTATGTTTTCATCTAAGAGTTCTATGGTTTTAGATTTTATATTTAGTCTTTGGTTCATTATGAATTACTTTTTATATAGTGAAAGGTAGAGGTTCAATTCCATTCTCTTCCCTGTGGATACGCAGTTGGCCCAGCACCATTTAAGAGACTGTTCCTCTCCCAATGAAAAGTTTTGGCACCCTTGTTAAAAAGGAATCGACTATAGACGTATGGATTTATTTGCGGACTCTCAGTTCTATCGCTTTGATTTATATTTCTATCCTCATGTTGGAACCACAGTTTTGATTACTCTAGGTTTGTAGAAAGGTTTGCCAGTGGGAATTTTAAGTCCTCCAATTTTGTTTTTCTTTTTCACCATTATTTTGGTTATTTGGGATTTACCCAAATATGAATTTCAATATGAATTTTAAAATTGGGTTTCCTACTTGTGCAGAAATGGCTGTTGGGATTCTAATGGGGATTACACTGAATCTTGGTAGTACTTTGGGGAGTACTGTGACCTAAACAACACTAAGTCAACATTTTAGGTAGGACCCGTCAGAGACAGAGAAGATTAACAAACTAAAATGAGACATTTTAGGAAGGAGAAAACAGAACAATCCATTAAGAATACAACTTTTACCTTGGAAAGAGCCATTCCTTCTTTCCTTCCTCTTCCTCTGGGATTCTCAGCTTAGATTATTCTGTATGACAAAAACATGTTCAATGCTTAGAATCAACACACCCTCTTCCTCTGCCACAAGTACACAAACAGGGAGAACCTTAACACAGGGGAAAGAGGGCCCTTTGCTGCCCACTGCAAGAGGAGGGATGCAGGGACAGTAAACTCCATATAGGGACCAAGAAGTGAGTTTTCACCCATTTCTTCAGAAAGCCGTCCCTTCCTCCTGAAACCCAGACTCTGCTGCAACTGCACTGTCCTTGTCCAGTTGGCACAAAGTGGCCGGAAACTGCCTTTCCAAAATCTTGGCTCTTCCATAGGCAGCCAGCATCCAATGCCTGGTTGATGCAGGGGACAGAAGCCTGTCCCTTCCCTCAATTTGGACCAACTCTAAGGGCCACCCAGCTCCAGAGCTCCCCGCTATAGATAAACTGAGGAGTTGAGATGTTTGTCCTGAGGACCAGGAGGAACCATAACAGGGCTTAATGCCGGGAGAGGACACAATCAAACTTAAGATTTACCCACGAAACACAGGGAGGCAGAGAGTGAAGCTGAAAGAGAGGCATGCCTCTGTCTCTGAGCCTCTGTCCCTGCCTTTTTCTTAGTGGTTTTCATCCTTTTTAGAGGACTGGGACACATTCCAAATTCTAATTCTAACTGGCACCCTCTCCCAGAAAACTACCAAATGTAGACACATGCCCACTTTTGAACATCATTCCAGGGCTCCCATTTGCTCAGACTCAGAATTCCTGGTCTGCTCTATCATCTCCATGTTACAGGTGGGTGCACCGAGGCTCAGAGGGGGAGTAAGTTTACCAAGTTACCCTGAAGAGGGCTGAGTTCAGTGAGCAGACCTGAGTGTAAGTGGTGGCCTGGAGAGGGCAGTAGAAAGGGTCTGCTCTAATTCCAGATTCCTTTACATATTCCTGAGAAAGGGAAGCTTCTCTTTCATGGCTTTAATCAAACCCAAGCAATTACTTCCTGTTTTCAAGAAACATATTTTAAAAATGAAATTACACATAGCTATTAGTCTTGGAAAACATGAAAGAGGGTCACCTGGAAATGAGCTCTGAGCAATCTCTTCCTCCTGAACAGATGGAGTCTGCTGGAACAAAGTTCTACACTAATCCAGCCCATCCTTCAGCATCTGCACAGAAAGACACAGGGGACTTGAGGGGAGCATCCCCTTAGTTGGAGCCTTCAGCTCAGAGGTCACTAATTTAACAGGTCACTTCAGGGAAGAAAGCAGCTCTTGCCTATTAAACTAGCTGGTTAAACTAGGTTTACAGTGTTAAATATTATCAACATCCTTACCAGATGCATAGTGTAATATTTAGTTATTTACAGACCTCATAGTTCCAATATAAGAGTAGAAAGCATATAAATCTCATACTCTGCACAATAAAATTAATAGGGAAAATAATTTGGAAGTTAAAAAAAATACCAAAGTTAAAACAAGTGTGAGGATACATCACATTTAGAAAAGAATGACATGAGCCAGAGGTCAGGGAAAGTCCTCCCCCATTTCTTGAAAGGGAAGAGGGTGACCTGGAATTGACTGAGCTAAGTCTGTGCCCTCAGGGTGCACAGGGGCTGCAAATGGAATTCTCTTCTGGTGCAATAAGTAGAAAATGCAGACGCCTCAAATACCTGGTTTTGTAACTCTCATTCTCTTCTGCATAATTTAAACAGTGCAACAAATCTGAAACTAATTAGATTATAGAGCCACAAATCAGTACTACTTCACACCTTAATATCCCATATCAAATCAACTCAATACTCCCTGGGTTTGGGTCCCTGACTTTCTCCACCACTGTGTTTTGTTCTCTGTATTTGTCTCTGTCCTTCTGGTTCTTTCCTCTCCTTTGTCCATTTCTGTGTTTCTCCCTGTTTCTCCGCATCCTTTTGTTTCCCTCCCTCTCTATTTCTCCTCCTCCTAGAGTGTTGGGACCACTCTGCTGTAACGTCTGTTTCAACGCCTGCTGTTCTTTCTTCCTAAACGTTCTGGTGACCCTCTAACCCCATATATTTCCGCCTCTTTCTCCCCATCCCTGTCCCCCTCTGCTCTCCCTGGAAGGGACGAAGGGCACGCATCCACCTCCTGAGCGAGGCCTTTACCACGCGGTTTGGGGAGTCGGGCATCAGAGCAAAGGTTTGAGGACGAAAATGACGCGGCAGCCGGTCGGCGTCTCCGTGGACCGAAGGCAGAAAAGTCGGGCGGCACCTGCCACGGAGCGATTTTAACCGGAAACGGACGCGACTCCCGGACCCGCGCGGAGCCACAGGACTCAGGGCGTCTTATGGCGACGCCGCGAGAGGAGAAAGGGACGAACTCACAGCGAGAGGGACGAGCGGGTTCAGAGACATTAGCTTACTGGGCGACCCCCGAGCCCGGGTTGGAGGACACATGCCTGAAGAACGCGAAGCGCGGGAACGAACCAGAAATCGACTCACTCACCAGAAAACGCACATTCCTCCGCGCGATCCGCTTCCGGGTCTGCTGGAAACTGCGCGTGCGCCTGCTTATCGGGGCGGGGCAGACAGGGCGGGGTCGAGGCCGGGGCGGGGCTAGGGGCGCGGTGTCTGGCCGCGTCCGCCCCTCAGGTTCCCAGGTCTGTTTGTCCTCCCGTCTGCGTGTCTGGATCTCTGGTTTTGGGTTCCTTTGAAGCTGGTGTCAGGCTCGGTCCAGAATTAGACATGTGTGGGCTGCTTATCCTGGAAGTGGAGATATTTCCTCTCAACAAATTGAAAACGGTTTCCTTGAGAGCTTTTTGACGAGCGGAGACGCCTGTCCTATGAGCGCGGCTCTGAAGAGGGGACCCGGGGCGGGGCGGGGGGTTGTGGGGGGTGGTGGGGTCCGGAAGGTCGGAGACCCCGGACAGTAACAGCTGCTGCTTTTAGCAAAATTCGGAGTTGTCTGTGTAGGTGACAGAAACTAGAATGTGACATGAAATGCAAAACTGTGCCTGCGCGGAATGTGCAGTTTTATACTAACTCCCCCAGAACGGAATTTCTTTCTGTTCCCCTTGCACGTGGGAGGCAGAGACACAGCCCTGCGCTGGGTTCCAGGGACTTCATGGGGCCAGGCCCTGGGCTGTGGGGACAGAGAGCTGAGACAGTGCTTTAAAAGAACAAAAATGTCTTCGCTTATGGATAGAAATTAATTTCTCTTTAAATTTAAAGTGTTATACTAATCCACACTTCTGGAGATGAATTAATAATCCACATACGTTTGAACCGTGCTTGATGGCGTCCTGTGTTTTGCTGAAGTCATTAATTACTAAATATAATTGCAATTTCAATTTACAAAACTAAATTCTCAGTTATTTGGAACAATATTTTTACCTTGAAAATTAAGTTAGATAAATCGGGTATTTTAACTATCTTGGGTTTTTTTTTTTTCTGTTTCCGCATGTTTTATGTCACGTGCAGTTAATGAGGCTTGCAAAAGATGGACTCTTCGGGAGACATTTATTTGGCTTTGCTTTTAACTAATGAAATATCAATTTTGAAATGTTTCCAAAGACGTGTGATAAGGATGTGTATTCCCTTAGTGAACAACAAACCCAAATAGTATTACTAGTTTTTCACATTTGCAACAGCATCATTTAAACCCTTAATAATTTTTAATTTGAAATATACCAGTTAATAGCTCCTTTTCTGTTCCCCGTGGAAATTCTGAAGGTGGTGCTGGCAGGATTTTGGATCAACCGGATCACATCTGTACATGCTCCAGAAATTTCTGAAAGACCATTTTCAATAAACAGCACTCTTCTGTTTTCCCCAGAACTAATACCAGTTTCTCAAACTTCTAAGGTTCCCCCCCCCCCCATTATTTTGGTGAGGTTTTATTTCTTTAAGTAATTAAATGCTTGCACTCAAATGGATTGGAACTTTGGCAGATAAATTTCTCTTGGGCAAGAAAACAAAAGTGACCCTTCCCTGTCCCTGTCTCTCCCCAGACTCCCAGTGCTGAGCTCACTTCCCTTGAGCGCTGGTCACTCCATGCAGACCGACTTTGAAGTGGATCTCCATGAAGGAGCCAGGACTGTGCACCATTTGAGGTCAAGAAGTGCTGACATCTGAATTCCACATCTAATTTTTTTTCAGTCACTTTGCCTTCCAGGGGGGCCACTAACCCACATTTTTAATCAAATAGTCTCATCTTGTATTTACATATAACATGTGTTTGGTAATTTTCCTGACCAGCTGAAATGATTTTTCTTGGACTCAGACAGAAACCTTCTTGGTTGGAGGCTCCCATGCTCCCCAAGAGAATGTGAGCCCACAGGATGCTGTCTGAGTAAACCAAGGTCTAGTCACCCCCTCGTTGGCTCTTCTTTTCTTGACTGGGAATTAGATATCATAAGAGGTGAGGAGTGAAAACACTGAGATCACATTTTAGTATAATTTCCTGCCTTTATAATTTTATTAATAGAGTGATAATTAATCAAGGGAAACCTCATTATAAAATGGAGTCAGGAGGCCAGAAGGGGAACCTCCCACACACTACCACCTGAGGTCAATTACAGACCCCAACAGAAGCCCTCAACAGGAAAGAATCATTAATTATAGGAATAAATGCACATTGCATCCTAAACGGAAATCGACTACCCCAGCAATTGGGCCCATGAGAAACCCTCAGCCCCCTGAACTCTTCCTTTTCTCCAATAGTCTTTCATTCAAAACTACCCCTCCCAATTTCCTCCTTTTTCTCTAAAATAACGTTCATCTCTCGTTTGTTGAAGTAGCCTGTGGATTTCCATATCCTGCACCTTCTGAATTGTAATTTTTTGGCTTTTACTGAATAAACTTGTTTCCCTGGTAACATAACTGCCTGCTTTATTTTTAAGGTTGATATATATGGTGCCTGAAGGGGGATGAAAAGGAGGCAACCCCCCAAGAGACAGCAACGCCTGGAATCTAGTGAGGTACCCAGACCAAGCCGCTTGTGTTCATTCCTTACATGAGTTGTTGCCTACTTTCAGTTTGACGAGGCTCCTCTTGGATTTCGAGCTCCACTCCACTGTGTTCTGAACTTTCTGACTTTCTTAGAGCAGGAGAGGCACTGTCCCCTCCAGAGAGGGACTTTGTCTTCCCAGTTCAAAGCTCTGTCCTTGAGTTCAAGATGTCGTCTTTGGAGAATACTCAGTTGTTTTCTGAAGGTAGCACAATTCCTTTTGGGGCGTGGGCTTGCTGAAAATCTAGGAGTATTCTTTGATTTTCAGATTCCTTTTGGAATCAGGGCCGGGAATCCAGCAACTTTCTTTTGCTTTCAGATTCCTTTGGGGATCATGGCTAGGATTGTAGTATCTTTCTTGAGTTTTCAGAGGAGATTTCAGAAATGGGGTCCCAGTCATATAAATGTTCTGAGGAAACCCTCCTTCGGGGATCCTGGCTGGTTGGCTGTGGTTTGGGCTGAGTACTGCTCAGGGAAGACCAAGAGGCTAGGGCCAGTGATGAAGATGATTCCCATACTTGTTCTGAAAATTACAACTCTAATTGATCCAAACCCCCTATGGCTAGTTATTTATTCAGAATAGGAGCAAAAGGATGGACTGAGCCCTAAAAAGTGCTGTAGACCAGTGTCAACTGCCCCAAAGTGAAGGACTAATGTTCATTCTCCCAAAGGACCCCTACTTCCTTGCTTCTCCCTGACGTCATCACATCCAACTCTGCCTCCTCTGTGCCTGTCCCCAAGTGGCTGGTAACAGTTGGAGAAAACATACACCCAAACTGACTGTCTTACTTAATCCCTGGCCCTACTCCTCTTGCATTTCCCTATTTGTCTATCCATATGTGTCCTCTAGAGCCCCTTGGAAGTCCAGCTCATCCTCTTCCATCTTTTTTCTCAAAGACCCTGTTCTTCCACTGAGCCCCTTGAGCAAAGGGAGGAGACCTTCTACAGCTGGCTCACCCCCTGCCTCCGGGCATGCGCTCTCAACTTGGTATTGACTGGGAAGGGTCTGTCCCTGCTCCTGGCTGTTGCTGACTCTGTGATTGGACCCCAGTTGGCAGCCCCACTGACAGTGTCAGGATGGTATGGCATCCTTCCTCCACTGCATCAGATATTTTTGCTTTTTGACATTTATTTTGATCAGCATACACTAATGCTGTTGTCTGTCTTA